AGGCTCAGTCCCTGCCTGCACTCAGAGCAAAGAGGTCTGCTGGCTCTTCCCTCTGCTCCCTTCCACTCTTCGCTATACTCTTGTGTTCACCATGTTATTCTCCTGCTCTATAAAGAGCCTCCTTTCTCTTTTTTTAATTTTGTCGAAAACATTCTAAAGCTTTTTTATTTTTAAAACATCAGTTTTTGTTTCTGAATTATGTATCGTGTTGCTTTTGTAATATTATTTTTTCCCCTATTGTGGCAATTTAGACTTGGTTCTTCAATTTTTAAATTTTCTTATTCCTGAAAAAACTTTGTTTTTGTTGAGAAGACACTCATGCTTTCTGTGTTTGTGGAATGTGTGTTGTGTTTGTGCTTTCTTTGTGTGATTCACATGCTACAACTGTAGTGCTTCGACATTGGATATCCTTTCAGACGTCAGCATGGCAGTGCGCCACGCATTTTCTGCTGTGCTCTTGATGACATGCATTGCATGTTATTACAACAGCCTTCAATGTGGTCTTGTCTTTGATGACCTAAGTGCCATCCGGGACAACAGAGATTTGAGACCTCATGTACCGCTCAAGAACATCTTCTTTAATGATTTCTGGGGAACACCTATCCATAAAGTAAGTTACAAAGTTAAATACATTCTTCATTTCAATGCAATTAGTGACAAATATGCACGATGTTCAGGATGACATTCGTACAATTGAGATATATTGACTTCACTCAACACTTTGTTTATAGGAGCAGAGTCATAAGTCTTATAGACCTCTGTGTGTGCTAACTTTTCGTTGGAATTATGCACTCCATCAACTGGAACCAATGGGATACCATTTAGTTAACATGCTTCTGCATAGTGTTGTTTGTCTCATGTATTACAGGTAATGAGTAGTATCATTTTCTTCTTAACTTAACGTAAGATTCTTAAAAGATTCTATTAAATTAATTTTTGTTTTGTAGAATGTGTTCTTTGTTTCTACCGGAAATATCAAGTTTTGTTGCTGCAATGCTCTTTGCCGTCCACCCTATTCATACAGAAGCAGTAAGTATGAATATCTCTAAATAGTTGTATAAGTATAAATGTTTATACTAGGATCTAATATTACTGTACACTATGGAGTTTTATGAAGAAATTGTCACTGTTGTTAATAATGTCACTTCCAGGTGACGGGAGTAGTGGGAAGAGCAGAGACTTTGTCTTCAGTATTTTTTTTGGCTGCCTTCATATTCTACACAAAATCTACCAAGAGAAAACGTGTGACAGGTATTTTCACAAACAAATAGTATTTCTACATTTCTTCCACTTTTTTTTATCAACTGCACATACTAAATTTTAAAATTTAAATTTCAGGGTGGCAGCCTTTGGTTTTATCAATGTTGTCAGTTGCCACAGCAATGTTGTGTAAAGAGCAGGGCATTACTGTCACAGGCATATGTGCTATTTATGAGTTAATTGTGGCTCAAAAGGTAAGTAGAATTCACATCAGTTATACAACTTAATCTCTTTAAAAACATAAATAATAGTGCTTCTTTCTTTTCTTTTTAGTTACGCATCCTTGACTTGTTGTCTTTGGCAAGAACAGCATTGAGTGGAAAAGGATCTCTTAATGTTTCATGGCAGTCAGAGGCAACGAAACGATTAAGTGTACTAGCAGCAACAACTGTGTGTCTTCTGGCTGTACGCTTGCAAATAATGGGATCCAGACTTCCTGTTTTTACAAGGTAGGTTACAAAAAGTGTTTTGTATTGAACATGAATGTAATCATAATTTAATGGTATTTTTTTGTATTTGCATGTTATCCTCTTAAAAATTCACTTTTTATTTGAAAACTCTTACAATACATGTTACACTTACAAATAGTAGAAACAAAACTCATTCAATCTTACTAAATTCATACTTCTTAAAACTAAATATATTGTTAAAAGTATTTTTTTAACTCATTAAAATACATTAATAAATATTTTCCAGAAATTGTTTTCATAAATCTTAGGATCAGTTAAAACAATATATTTAGTTTTAAGAAGTAGGAATTAAGTAAGATTGAATGAGTTTTGTTTAAACTAATTGTAAGTGTAACATGTATTATACGTGTTTGCAAAGTAGAAGAGAATTTTTACGCTTCATATTATTTGATTATAATATTTATTCTTTTCCCAACTTGTATCTTTTTATAATAAAGATAATTTTCTGTATATTACTTAGCCTTATATTTAAAACAAAATTTTGAAAACATATCAGGTATTCTTTACTAGCAATTTCTTTATTAAAATATATTTTTTGGTAGTTAAGCTATTTCAGTTGTTCAGTAACAATATGTATCTCAGTTAAGCGATTGTGAATGAAAAGTATTGTTTCAATTAGAAGTATTTATCGCAGAATGGCAGATATTTAAATTTCACATCACTGAGCATTTTTCAAATAAATGTTGGAAAAAGTATACCATAAATTATTTTGGAAATCCCATCACCTACTGGCAAAATGAAACTTTCAAAATAAATCTTTGTACTTTCTTAATTCTCATCTACTGTTCATAATTTTCTTATTTAATTATAAGTCTTGACCTACATAAAACAATGAATTGTTAAAATTCAATAAGAACTATTCAGCTGCAACAGCTGAATGTCTTACAGTCAAAAGCGCTTTTATGATTTCTTTGATTTATAGTTTAATCTCCTAATATTTTGTATGTTATTATTTTATCTATTCATAGTTGGGCATAATATTTTATGCAATATATTATTGAAGACTATGCCTCTTTGGCCTATTTATTCAATCTGTTTGAAAGAAAATTAATTACAAGGTAAAATTTATCAAGTATGAGTGTAGTACACACAGTTGACAAAAGGGATTAATTTACTAATGTTTATAAAGATAATAGTTTTCTCAGTAAAAGATACTGTATCAGAACTGAATGCTGAAGTTAACAGTATCATACAGTAACTTTTCACTTTTAGAATGTGCAATTAAAACTACACAATGACCAATCAGAATTCAGAAAATGGATCAAAATCATTTAATGAAGTCACTATAATACAAATGTGGCCAAAATATTTCCAGTTGGCCATGAAACATGAACAAAAATATGACAGATTATGTACCTATATCAACGACATACAAACAATGAATGAATAAAACGAAATTGGTTTGACACTAGCTGACTAATGAAACATAACATCAATAAATTAAATGTTTTACTTGTAGTACATTTGGTCTTGGCATGTTACAAATGTAATAATTATAATCATCAGTTGTACTTACCCGTTCTAAGATGTATATCAACAGAACTAAGTTAGAAATGTTTTTTCTTTTTTTCTCTCCTTTCTTTCTCACATTTCTACATGTATTTTCTCTCAAATTTGTATTTACCTTTCATAGAAACCATTCTTTTCTTGTCTTTGTATACTTCTTCTAATTTTTCATCTGAAATGTTTTCAAAAATATCTTCCATTCGCAATAATTTCTTTATCCTCTAAGTCACTATGGTGATGATAAGTACACAATGCAAGGGTCACTAAAATAGGTATTTTTCAGAAGCAATACATCATCAAATGTATGCCTCAAATGGTACAGATGTGCTTGAATTTCTCATCATTAAAATTATTCTTAAATGGAAACAAAAATATATTGAACATAACATATGGATAAAAAGGTGAAATTGCACTTGTGCTAAATAAGAAAACTCGTGCAATTATACTTCTTTTTATCCACTCATTTCCTTAATTACTTCATCTCAACTGTGAGTTTAGACATGATATTTAAGTGCACTTTCACTAAGAATAATCGCTTTTTTCTAACATGCGGAGACAGAAAAATTTGTTCAACTTAAGAATATTTTATCCATTATAAATTTCTGAGTAGAATGTGTGCTAGAAATTTGAAATCTTGAATATTGATACTGAACAACAAAGAGTGATAATGCAAATAAAAACTACTAAATTTGAGTACCCACTAAATAATTGTCATGATTTAAAAGTAATATAAGGAAATTAGTGTTGACCTAGGCAGTGATTTTCTTAGTGAAGTTAAATGTCATTTTCAATAATGAAAATCATAGATGACTTTGGAAAGAAATTGACACTTACAGTTTCAAGCAATTAAGAAATTTTAAAGTAATTAAAGAAGATGGGAATCTAGGTACTAAAGAAAGTTTAACAGGTATGAACCATAGTATAATTGTATAACCATAGAATATAACATACCGTGGTTAGCTAGAACAAACAAATGGTGCTACATGACAGACTTTCTCAAACTACTTGCAACAGTTATATAAAATGATAGGTGCCTCCACAGTGGTTGCACAGATCCCTTAAGCCCCCAAAAATTTTAGAGGGGGCTGACCTCCAAAATTGGACAGTAATAATTTTATAAAACATAACATTCTAAATTAAACTTTTGGAAAACAGTAGAAGCTTTGGTTGATCAAGTTGATAAGGCTAATCAAGTTGATTTGGTTAGTCAAGTTAATGCAGAATGTCTGAAAGCTAGCATAACAAAAATACCTCATATTGTATGTTAAATTTTATACAGAATGGGAAAAAATTTATTTTGGGAAAATTGAGTTTAAATGTCACTTCCTAACAGGCAATTCAAACTGACGGCTCTGTCATAACAGACTACAGTGTTTGTGATTGTACTTGGCAACACCTCGTGAATATAGCATGGTATCAGTGAAACTGTACATTAATATTGTCCATGGGGAAAACTGCCACACACTGAAGTTATTTAATAATACCAAGTGTTTAAGTGTATATTAATTTAATATATTAACTATACTAACAAGGTAGTTTTGTTTCAAATCATATTCACCAGGCCCAAACATGTCCTTGTGATTCATTGTAGGCTGCGCCACAGTTTGGGCTGCTTGTTACATTTACATTTTTTGAGATTTTCTCTTGAAGTATGCTAGCAGATTGACATTATTTTAAAAAAATTTAACTCTCTCAATTCAGTCAAACTAGAAAATCGATTTAAATTAATTCCACATAAAACTAAGTTCATCATGTTATGTATTCAGAAGTCTTTCAAAATCAGTCAGCCTTCATACATCTTGTTGCAAATGTCTTGTGAATGTTCATTTCCATCTGAGATATGGCATATTATTCTGGAGGAAACACATCCTAGTTCCCAGACTTTTAAAGTGCAGAAAAAAATCATAAATAATAAGCAAATCTCACCCACATGAATCCTGTGAGTTTCTCTTTATTAAACATAAATTCTACTTGTTCCTTCTCTCAAATACAAACCAGCGGTTTTTGTCAAAACTGACTTACTCAAAAGTGGACAAGTTTTTACATCCAATATAGGTGTCTATAATTAAAACTCATGGTGTAGGGTAGTAACACAAGGTGTTCCCATTTCACCAGGGGTCAGTATCAACAATTCACAATTAAAATTTTACATACAATACAATTACATTATTTTATAATGTGGTGTTTAACACCAGTGGACATTAAACAGTAGAAATCATTACTGAAGTTTAATCACCAAGTAAAATATTTTTTGCTGCATAACTATTTCTGAACAAATAGAGAGTATAATGAGAATCAAAAAAGAAAACAAGATTTATTTTAACAATGTTATTAATGCATTAGTTATCATTTAAATTATATAATTTTTAAAAAAGTAAATATGGCTGTACAAATATTATACTTCTCAGTCAACGACTCTCATCTCAATCAGGTTTTTCATCCAGTTTCTCTTCATCCATTGTGCAAATGCTGAGATAGTTTCTTGTTTTGCTTCTGAACATAAATATAGCTTCACTATCTGTATTATCTTGAGCTCAGTGTTAGTGAGGCAATAGTTATTCAAATAATTGTGTGTGTTATTCAAATATGTGGCCATTAATGAAGACTTGGAAAAGGACAATGTAAGACTTGATCACACAACTTGAAGTACTAAATGAAAATAATGTTTTGGGACACAAAAGTCATGCTGGGTAGTTTGGCAGTCGGGCAGAAATTCTTAAGAAGACCAGATCCACTTGGTTAGATTAAAGAAAAAGAGCCTTTTTCAAAAGGATGAAGACCATGGGGACACAAAGACTAATACAAGACCTTTATATTGTTCTTGGTGATGTCCAGAATTGAATAAGACAAAATATTAGTATAATGTGAATTCTATTCTTAAGTGTAAAAGAAATAACTTAAAGTTGTTCATAGGATCGCTAAATCACCTTTCATTTAAAACTACATGGTACTACCTGATCTTTAAATATGTTAAGCAATTTTATCTTAGCTATAGTATCTTAACTTTGAAAAGAATTCATTAAGAAATCATTGATAATTTATTATTTCCTATAATTTGTGAAAAAAAAGTCATCTGAAAGTAAGTGACATAAAGGCTGTTTAATTAGCCTTGACATGTGACTGATGATGATCAGCATAATTTATTTTTCTGAATCTCCAAAATATCATAGTATTTGTTCACTTGTTCGTTTGTATTGTAAGGTAACTTGTGAACTATTGTAGATAATGAGAGCTTTGAGAAAATACGTTTCACCTGTCCTGTAATGTAGATCATTATTACGTGCAACTTGCCCCAACACGACATTTAATCTGTGTATAATTTCAATTTCTATTCCTTTCTTAGATGAAAGGTAGGAAAATTATGGGCGAAAGTCAACTTTTCGTTTATTTCAGGAAAGCTTTTTATAGCTGGGCAGTTATCTCTATATTCTAACTATTTCATTGGATTTCAAAACCAGAAATATCATATTTACTGGACTATATTCTGGTGATAACTGAGAATGAATGATGATAATTATTGTTCTACTCATTGAGGGTGAGGTAGCATGACTTCCCTTTCCGTAGGTAGCCGACCATAATGGTCCTTTGCCTTTGCCTTTCATCTAATTGATGGATAGTAGGGTTGATCATGAGGAAAGGAAGAGAAGATAAAAATAATTGAAAGGAATGATAATTGAAATGGTATTTGTGGGGATACGATCGGTCATGCCACAACTATATGGTGATATGGTGAAAAAATCCATGATTTATGTTAAATTGTAGCTTTTGCCTCTATGTGTTTGAGCACTGCTATAACTTCTATGCCCCTAAGGCTAGCTTTTATGGTAAATTCTTCATTGCGATTTTTTTAATGCTTTCAAAACTTTTATTATCATGTTATTTTGTTTAAATATTTTTAAAAATTATTATATTTTCTAAAAGAATGTATATTTACATTTTTAACATCTGCACTTGTCACTTCTAGAATCTTTACACTCAAAATGTATTTCCTGAGAGTATCAAAAAAAAAAAAATTAATTTGAGATTTGCTAAAAAATACAATCTTTCAAACAACAATTCTTCTCCATTAAATAGCACATCAACTAAAGAGAAAATAGATCTTGAAGTCTTTTATGTGCATTTCTCTTAGCTATTGAACTTTCTTTTTCTCTAGCAAAATACAAAATACTAGATAATCCATTTATAAATGAAATATGAATCATATCTGTTTAAGATGTTTTTATATTAAATTATTTGTATCCACTTTCATTAATACTTATAATCATCATTTTCAAATAATTATGTTCTTTTATTTTCCTATGAAATGAATTTTTTTTTAAATGCCAAATAAATTATTTTTAATGTGCGGAAAAGTAATCAGCTAGCTTGCTGACTCATCTGACTTTGAGTTTCATGTATTGATATGTATTTTTCAGTAGTTGATAGTAGTTGATATGTATGTTTCAGTGAAATTTGCATATTAGTTAGATAATTCACACATTAGCAAGGTGGTTTGGATAAAGTTCTATGAATGATGATGAACGGGTACTAGTTGAGTTAGTTCAGAGTAACAACAGTCGCCACTTCAGTGACTGAGAGGTTTTAGGGTTCAAGTCCCAACAGAGGAGGAATTTTGGATACTAACTAAATGGTTAGGTCTAATTCACTGACTAGAAGAGAATTCGAATGGCCAGCTGCACTGATTGATTGTCTTTTGTGCATCAGTATCAGTCAAATTCCGCAGCAGTATCCTCTCAAACTGTCCACAGACTGCACACCATCTGTCCTTCTTTGTCCTTTCCCATCTCTCCCCTTTAACATTTATCCCAGCTGGGGCAGTGCCGCGTGGGGGAGGGGGGGATCCTGAAGGGGAAAACCTGCAAGCCGACATGTAGGTCAGCCCCGAATCTCTTGTTTAGGTGGGGGAGGAACACTGCCACCTCCCTGGTTGTAACATTCACAACACTCAGGTTTTTCCTGATGTATGTCATGTATGTTTTCTGATGTACTGTCAACAAATGCATGGATTCATTAGCATTGTAGTAACATTAGCAGTTAACCAAAACATCAAGTCAGTCACTCAACAATGAATCAATTGTTTTGGACATGATCCAACTAATTCTTGAATTAGCTTACAAAGTGCTGAACTAAATAAGGTGATAGTTTGAGTACGAGATGTATTGGCAGAAAAAAAGTTGCATAATCTCAAGGTTGTGTAAAATGTGAAGAGGGCCTCGTTGTTCTAACATCGAAATGCATAGTAAAGCATGAGCTATGATATATTAGAGGTATCTTATAAATAGAAATATATGACTGATGCAGTGGAAGTCAAAACGCCACATATTGTTGCTCACTAGCCTCAAAACAACTTTCCTCAAGCTGTCTGATTCCAGTTAAGCACTGATATATTCACCACAATGTAGGCCTACTTCTCTTACCATAGCCACATTGTGTTGGGTAGTATGTCCTTCCAGTATAAGTTCAAATAATGCCTTGGATTTAATCCACCCATTTTGGGTAATGTAAACATTAACTGGCTAATTTGCAACTTAACCCCAATTTGATTAGCTGCATCTTGCATTAAAAGTAAATAGATTTTTTTTCATTCTTATTTTTTGCCCTTTTAATGTCAAAATGAGGATCCTCGCCAGTTTCCACCTCCTTCTCACTTCTCAACTTTTGAAATATGATAGATTTGTGTACCTTAATCTTCATTTCTTTACATCATCAAGTGTGCTTTAAGTTCAATATTTCAAGGTTTAAATTCACTACCTTTTTTTTCTCTTCTATCTACCCTTCATTACTTTCACGTTCTGAAAATCGCTTCCTAATGTTTTGTGTTTATTTATTTGGTTTACATACAAGTGTGTTGAACAAAAACTCTTTTTGTTAAGAATTTTTTAAAGTTAAAGCAGGTACTCAAACCATTATAATTTATTTCCATGTTTCTTTGTAATAAGTAAAAATTATTACATTTCAAATCCCATGTTGTACATTTTCCCGTGTATGAATGGGTGATGAAAACAAACCCCAATATACTGCTTCCATCTATTGCAAAATTGAAAAATGTAGTTCAGTTCATGTGGCAGGTGATCGCAATAGAAAACAAATCTTATACCAGCACAACTCCAAAATATAATTTCAACTAATAGACTGCATTGACAAATATTGAACTTTTCAGATGTAACTAAATATATATTAGTTCAATTTTTGTATAGTGACCGATAACATTAGGTCATTGTTACACCTCCTGCTTTATCAAATGAATTTTTTTAACATTGGTAAGCACTTCTGAAGCCACAAGCCCGAGAACGACATTTGCAAATTAATTAAAAAGATTATTTTGTAAGGCAGGAGGTGAAACAATGACCTAATGTCATTGCCACTGTCATTGTCATTGTCAGGCCACATTTGCCAAAAATTGAAATAATACCAAGTTTAATGTAATAGTTCATCAGATGTTTGGCTCTGTCATTTAAAGCACAATGCTCATCAAAAATGCTTATTGTTGCAAGGCAGCATTTCAAAAGATGTTGATCAGTTTGGTTTCCTCAAAAATATTAGAAATACTTTTCCACATGCAGACACTTTTTCTTAGAAAAAGCGAAGCGTTTTCAGACATTCAGCATGGATTTAGAAAATCCAAATTTACAAAAACAGCTATATTTTCTTTTTTTAAAGATGTTTCGTCATCAGTGGATTAAAATAAAGTACCTATTGGAATATTTTTAGATCTTTCGAAAGCATTTGACATCATTCACCAAAAAATTTACTTTCAAAATTATAAAATTTATGTATGTATACTCATCTTTCCAATTCTTTGCCAGTTAAACACGAAGTCAAAGAGGGTTCAAACTTAAGCCCTGACCTCTTTTATAAATAAATGACATGCCTGTGTCCATTAGAAATGCAAGTACAGATCTCTTTACTTACAACACAAATATTCTTTGCAAAAAAAAAGCCATAAATAGTATAATTTCATATAATTCCAATTGATTGAGTAATAACAGATTAATAGTAATCAAAGGAAACACTGTTTCTATGCATTTTTGGATTTCAAAGAGGCCATCACATGTGCCATAAAAAAACAACAATATGTTTTAAATCTGTAGGGGAATCCCCCCAGCCAACTCTCTGAGCGTGGGGAGGTGTTTGGGCATGGCTTCTATTTGTGCCTTTCTCTGCCCTGCATTCGATGTCGAAACCCCTCAGTGGGAGACACATTTTTCAAGGCAGTGTGAGGGTATCAGAAAATCATAGTACTCTGGGCTGTGACACATTGTGCACTGAAACAGTCAGCAAGCAGTCAGTTTAACAATGCAAAAACCATAAAACATTAGATGAAAAGGTCAAACATATGAAAGCAATAGAAACTCAGAAGCTGTCATTGAAGAATGTTTAATATTCATTGGTGATTTCTTCCATAAATATGTTATATGTAAATCTATTTTAATAATCATAATAAAATCATGTAATTTTTACTTTACTTTAATTACTTCTTCACTTACTTTCATTAATATACTAGTTCCAGAACAGAAATATCAATATCACAAGTGTAATATGGACAACCCTTCATGTAATGGAAACCTCCCTAATCCAGAATTTTTCTTTGTCCCAATTGATTCCAGCTTAGACAGATTTTACTGTAGTTTGTTTACTGATGCAAATAAGTACTACTCAAGTATTACTAGGTAGCAAATATGTCTAGTGTTTAAATATTTCTAGCCACGTTGTGTTGTTTCTTTTATTCATCATTCAACCAAGTTAAGAGAATCGGAGAGGTAAAAATTCTAGAGCTCAAGAAAATGTGTGCAGATATGTTTTCCATTTACCTTAAGTTAGGAAAATTCAGAGTTTTCAAATACCTTAATAGAATAGAATTTCTTGAAAAGCAAGTCATGCATATCTGAAATTCTGAAAATGTAGGTACTCAATAAACATTTAGATTTGAGAAGGATATACTGATGAGAATATCAGTCAAACAAATTTTAAAATGTAATTTTAGGACTTGTGACAAATTGTGAATATTATAAATAATGATATTAAAAATTCTTAACAAAAGAGTCAATGTAATAACTTCATCCCAAATCTGTAAAGGTAATGCCTACATAACATTTCCATACCTTTTTGGTTTAAAAATGTGAAGTCAACATCTTACATCTTTATAAATGTTTTAATGAAATGAAATAATTAGTTAATTGTCAGCACATGTAAAATTTTTCTGTTAGCATCATCTGTTATGTCTTGATGTGATTGAATTATAAACATTGATAAGATTCAATTTCACAGTATAGATAGCTTTGCATTGGTATGTTTAATTTTTTCACAATTACCTAATGAAACTGTAATATCCTCTGTTGCAGATTTGATAATCCAGCATCTGTAGCTCCAACACCAGTGCGACAGTTGTCGTATCATTACCTGATCAGTGTCAACATGTGGCTTCTACTGTTTCCTTGTGATCTTTGCTGTGATTGGACCATGGGCACTGTACCATTGATTGAATCATTCCTTGACCCACGGAATATTGCTACAGTTTTATCATATGTTGCCTTACTTCTTTTGGCATATGCAGCTATTATTGTTGAGAGCAGACATCAATCTGTTGTCATCATTATGGTAATTGAAACCATTTATTAAGATTTGATGAATACATAAGTAAGATAAATGATAGTAAATGAATTCATTAAATGTTTTATTTTGTTTTTGTATTTTCTAGAGTCTTGCATTTTTGGTGCTCCCATTTCTACCAGCATCAAACATGTTCTTTCCTGTAGGATTTGTTGTAGCTGAACGAATTCTGTACATTCCCTCAATGGGACTATGCATGTTAGTTGGGTATGGATGGGGGCTGTTTGCTCAGAAACAGTAAGTAATTATAGTACATTTTCTAGCTTTTAAGTTTAATTTTTTTATTGTAAGATTATTTTAATTGTTTGTAATTTCAGTGGTAGAAAATTGGCATGGTTTCTTCTGGGTGTACTGCTTCTTGTACATGGTTGTAAAACATACCATCGGAACATGGACTGGGAAAATGAATATACAATTTTTATGGCTGGTCTACGAGTTAACCCAAGGAATGCAAAACTTTTCAATAATGTAGGACATGCACTCGAGAAACAAGAAAGGTTTGAAGAGGCTCTGCAGTATTTTCAAAAAGCAGTTTCAGTTCAAGAAGATGATATAGGTGCTCACATAAATGTTGGACGAACATTTAATCATTTGAAAATGTTTAAAGAAGCTGAAGATGCTTATTTACAAGTGTGTATTAAGTTTCTAAATATATTGCACTCTATGAGAGATAATTTCTTTCTTTTCTTTCCATTTATAAAACTATCTCTTTTAGGCAAAGTCCCTTCTACCCAAAGCAAAGCCTGGAGAATCCTATCAAGCTCGAATTGCTCCAAATCATTTAAATGTATTTCTGAACTTAGCAAATTTAATTGCTCGAAATGAAACAAGGCTCGAAGAAGCAGATCTCTTATACCGACAAGCAATTAGCATGCGTGCAGATTACACTCAGGCCTATATAAACCGAGGAGATATTTTATTGAAATTGAATCGTACAAAAGAGGCTCAAGAAGTCTACGAGAGAGCGC